ACAATTTCTAAATTTCATAATTTTCTGAAATTTTGTTTAAGTGATTTACCTAATTAACAATTTAAGAAATTAGTCATTTACTTGGGCACTTTTTGCTAATATTTCTTAATTTTCAATAACCTTGTCTAATTTTTAAAAATTAATAACTTTGGAACAAATATTAAAATTAAAAAAAATTTTTTTTCATTGTAAATAGAGACCGGCGGGAAGGCTTATCAGCTTTCTATATATATCGGGAAGTTTCTAGGTACCGTAAAAATCGAAAAGTTTCACGATCCCGGTTAGTATCGATTCCAACATTTTGACAGTTCCACGATTTTGTTTCATGGGAGCCTGGACATCACTAGCTGCATGAGTCAGAACCGAGACTATCATAAATATCAGAACTTGATTTTGCATGGATGATCCACCTAGAGCATTTAAAACGCTTAGGCGCGGGTTAAACGAATATAAGGATAAAAGAGTAAGCATTAATCGTCGCCCGAATAGCTCAGTGGTAGAGCACCTGCATTTTTGTATGAACAAGGCTGTGTGAGGACTGACAGCGTTGTCACAGGTTCTCCCGATTGTCCTGCCCGGTGGCTAGACTTTTGCTAAACTCTTTTTATTCTTAAAAAAATTTCGAAAAAATAATATATCAATCCTTTCCTAGTTAGTCAATCTTGTTATACTTTTAATCTTGATTTTGTATAAAAATATTTAAGTATATTTATATGTATTAGGAAAATATGAGGAAATATACATAAATAGTGCAGATCAAATTTGTCAATTTAATAAAACCCGTTTCTTTTTCCCTTTAAAAATCAAGCAAAATCTAAATGATCAACAATAATTGTAGATATAGGTGCACATAAACGAACAACACTTAAAAAGCTCTGAACATCGGATACTGTAAATCCTTTAAGCATTCCATCCTCCAAATCTACAATTACATCGCTTTTGTTTGCTTTGTCAATTCCTGGTAGGCACCTAAATTGAGGATTTTTTATTTTTTTTGTTAATCAAATCGCTTAGATTTGGTTGGGAATATTCTCTATTTGTCTATCAAAGAAAGACAGCAAAATAATGTGTGTATTAAGGACACGCGCCGACCCGATTCCCGAAAGAATCCACGAAAATCGGGAATTAGGTTTACTATCGGCGCGATCCCTGGTATGTATTTAGGAGATACCCCAGGAGATACCCAACACTTTATTAAATCTAAAAAATGTCATCTTAACCCCTAAACGACGGATGGGATCAAAATGAAAGATGGCGTCAAAACGTTTAAGTCAGGGCTCCGATCGACAAAATGCCACTCAAAAGTATCAAAATCTTGTAAAAAAAAGTACATAGGGAGAAAATTTGCAAATAAATGTACACTCAAAATTAAATTTGAAAATATTTATTCGTGATCAATCTTTTATATTTCTCTCCTAAATTAATCTTTTCTAATAATTTCTTGTTTCAACTGAGCATTTGTGCATTTCATTGCATGACATGTCAAAATTTGCTGTCACATGAAGCAAAGCTCTGACAGTCTTAACCTCAAGCGAGTTTCTTTCCTTCGTCCATTGAATGTTTGCCATTGAGAAGCGCCGCAGGCGAAAATTTTTTGAAATTTGGAGCCTAAGAAGCCAGATTTCTTCTTTTTCAGCGCCGCAGGCGAAAATTTTAAGAATTTTGGAGGTTCTTAAGCCAGATTTCTTCCATTTTTTGCGCCGCAGGCGAAAATTTTGAGAATTTTGTAAGAACCTTAAGCCATATTTCTTCCTTTTTTGCGCCGCAGGCGAAAATTTTGAGAATTTTGGAGGTCCTTAAGCCAGATTTCTTCGTTTTTTCAAAAATGTTGATAAAAAAGTACATACTTTCAAAAAAGTACAAATTCAATTTCGGAAGTACGAAGGTCGATAAAAAAGTACAATACTTTTAAAAAAGTACGAATCGGAGCCCTGAAGTTTAAGTGTTAACATTTTTTCGAAAGGTCCAAAAATTTTGTAACCCTCTTGAGAACCTACACCGATCAAGCAATGTCTCAAAGTGATTCCTCTGTTCTAAAGAATCGAACAGTCTCACTGGTTCCAGATTAACAATTTGAGAATCGGTTCCGGAAAAACATTGGATTTTTTCATTCATCCACCGATTTATGGACTTTTAAGACCCTCGGAAATCTTTTTTGCTTTTACCTTTTAAAATCAGCAGCCCAATAAATAGACTTTCCATGTGCTCGCCCCCATATTCGTCTATGAGAATATTTTCGTTGAGCAATAGTTTGTTCATCAAAATAAACAACTCGAATATCCTTCAAAAACACAACTTTAGGTCTCAATGTCCCAAAAAAGAATTTTTTGATGATTAAAATTTCGTCTGTCATTTTACAGAATTCGTCAGAATAAAGAATTTTGGAACGGGCAAATTGAGGGGGTAACCCTCCTTCCCATGTAGCTGTTGAAGATGTTGGTGGAAATGAATACATATTTTTTATAAATTATTTTCTAAAATTGAATAATTGTTATTCTCGCTAAATATTACAAATATCGAGTCAATTTGAAGTCATTTAATAATAGTTAACTATCACAAAATATTAATTTTCTAGTTAAAAATTGGGTTGATAATTGGATATATGATTTTAAACAAGAGATTTTAATATTTACCACCAAGAATTAAAAGTTTTTATGAAATTTAAAAACCTAGCGTCGAAATTTATGAAAATGAGTGATTTTTAAAAATTTCCCTAAAATAGATCATTTTAAGGATCAAAATAAAAAATCACCCTAAAATAGATTATTATTCGACCCTTGTTTTGAGATAAAGGAAACAATTTTCAATTAAATCTCAAATTTGTGATCCGGGTCTCTAAAATTTGGGCTACCCAAAAACGGAGCTACCCTTTAATTCTGGTTGCCAAAAACCCTAATGAAAATTTTATTCAGAGCAACATAGAATTGGGTTTGTTGAAAACAATAAAAAAATTTTTCGCCATCTTCCTCAAATTTTTCTGACGAGTTAAAAAGCGTACTACTTTTATCTCGGGGTAAAAATAAAAAATACTTATAGCTTTAAAATTGAAAAAGAGATTTTTGTTTTGCCAGACGTCACGTAGGCAATTAAATGAATAATGAAAGAATGAGTTATTGTTTTAATAAAAAAAGTGGAAATGAGGAGAAAACAAAATTATTAAATAGATGAAGCAGTAAAAATAAAGAGGAAGCCTAACAATTTATTAAAGAGAAAATAAAAGATTAAGCCGTGTCATAAGTGTGTAAATAATATTTTGTATTTTATTTAATACTATTGAGGGAGTAAAAATGGTCGAGAAGGGATTTAAAAGTCATAAGCTTTCCTCCTTCGCAATTTCTCGTCATTTAAAAATATTTAAACAAATATGGATATTCTTAAAGAAAATATTAAAATAAAAGAGAAAATAAAAGAGAATAAAAATAAGAATTTGAGGGAATTTTTATTGGATATCTCTGGAGGCCAAAACTGGATGGATTTTATACCTAAAGACCCAAAAAATTTTGGTTGCGTGGTTCGATGCCTTGACAACAAGTTAATAGCTGCGAGTATATTTCTGAAAATTGTGACTAGGGTTGTCAGTTCTTGGAAAATCTTCGGATATCCGAACCAAAAAATCATCGGTTCTTCGGTTCGGTTTGGTACAGAACCGACATTCCTATTTGTGACACTTCTCCAATGCCTATAGCCACCAATTCGTGTGCACGAAAGGTATCTTAAAATACTCAAAGGTATCTTAAAAATACTTGTTCGATATAAAAACAGCCTAAAATGATCAGTGATGGGTAAAAATAAAAGGTGTGGTCACAGCAGTCCGATTCAGTGATTTATCTAAATATCTGTCTATAAATCCGGATCTTAGTGGTCAAAACTAGGATTGCACGAGGTCGAGGCCTCGCCGAGGCTGAGTTCCTTGACCATTTTGTAATCTTGGTCTCGGATTGACTGCCTCGTGTCTCGGAACCTCGGTCATCGCCAAGAACTTCACCGATTACTTACTGTAAAAGTGACAAAAGTTGAGTCAAACGGGTAGACTAACATTTTAAAAATAAATTTATAAGGTTTTATATAAAAATATTTTGTATAAAAATATGTGTAAAAAATATGTTATCTAATCCCTTCCTTTTAATGGAGAAAAAAGGATAAAGAAAAATTATGTTTAGTTTAATGTTGGTGCTTATGAGGGATATTTTTCTTTATTTAAGCATTCTAAAATTAAATACGTCAAATGATTCTTCGAATTAAAAATCTTTTTTTTGTATTACGCCAAAGATAAATGTTAGTGTAATAATTATTTTTAGAAAATGGAATTTCTATTTTAGTATTGAGAAAAAAAAATTTTTTAATTACGTAATTAAATTGTTTTGACCTAAGCTTAGATGATGTAGAAAACTTTTATGATGTATAATGACAATTATGACGTTAATTAATTAATTTTAAAGTTGAAATTAAGGGTCTAAATTGGAGGTCGGCACGGAACAGGGACACGCATGGGATTTTACGAAATCCTGCCCCGAAAAGGGGAGAGCGCTGGAAAGTCTGCATGTTTACGCGATAAACGGGATTAATTACGGGATTATCGGGATTAATCCCGCGGGATCCTGTCCCGCAAAAATTTTTGAAAAAAAATCCTGTTACGGGATCTCTGAAATGCGATTTTACTGACCTCTAGTCTAAATTCCTGGTGATTTCGGGACTGTCGAACTCAGTCGGAGCCCATTCCTCTAAAAACTCTTCTTAAAAAGCTGTTATTTGATTAAAAGCTTTTAAACAAGTACTTAATATTTATTTGTATTTGGTTAAAATAAGTACATATTTATTAGAGTTAGAACTCGGACTGGATCCGGATTTTCAGGATCCGGTGATTTGAAACCGGGTATTTTGACAAAAACCGAATTTTCGGAATTTTGATTCAGAAAATCCAAACTTCTAACTCCAATAGTCAGACGAATTACCACACCCAATTTTTTTCTTTTTTTGGAGTGCACTGAAACGGCTCTGATTGTATCTCGGTCACGTCGTTTCAGTGCACAGCTTCAGCCTTTAAAAATTTTTTACCCATTTTTAACCTTTTTTTTCATTTTAATTTTTCAGATATGGATTCAATAAAAGACTTTCCCAACTTAGAAACAGCCTCCAAAAAATTACTGCGTTCATTAGAAACAGCAAATTACCTCTACACTCATTTAAATAAATTGGATCAAGCAAAGAAGGCAGCAAGTAAGGACGAGGCTCCCAAAACAGCTGAAAACAAAGAAAAAGAGACTAAAGAACAAGAAGGAACAAAATCGGAGGAATCCAATTTTTCAATTCAAAATTCTCCAAATTTTGAAAAACAAGTAAAAATGGTGGATGAATTACGTTCACTATGGGGGCAATTAAGTGATTGTTTAACTCAATTAGAGAAAATGCCAGACTCACATCATGCTATTCTTGCTCTTCAAAATGGTTTTTTTATTTTTTTTTATTCAGAAAATTTTTCTCAATAAGCCCTCTCACATCAGCGCTATCTCTCAGGCTTTGAAAAATTAAAAAACTAAAATAAGTACGTCGAATATCGATAAGGCGTCTCTCAAGGCCTTATCGATTTTTTTATCTCAAGGTTTTCCAGGCTCCTGAAACCCCGGATTTTTCTGAATTTCGAGGTCCGGGATTTTTCCGGATTTATCCCTTGGGATCCCGGCATCTGTTAAGAAATAAAATTCCGACTCGGGATCCCGGAAGAGCGATTTTGCCAGCCTTTACTCTCAATAGCTCGTCTTTCTTCCGATTACGTCTATACAATTCTACAAATCATCAGTAGCCAGGAAAATTTTTTTAAGGATTCCCTCTTGGCTACGGACCTGTTATTCGTTCCCAATCGAGTCGTCTTATCAAAATTTAATTTATTTAAAAATTATTTTTTTTAATTTTATTTTAAAGCCGCCGAAGCATTCTTTCTCTGTTATTCAATGTTCTTTCCTCAATCACCAAAATCAACTTCTACAAAAGAACAAACAACAACTTCTACTGTTGATAATTTACAAAGTTTAACTCAGCCACAATCTACTTCAATTAATTCGCCTGATTCGCAACCATCATCGACAGTTAATTTAAATGATGCTAATTCTTATCAAAAGGAAATGTTTGCGTTTGCAGGTTTTTTATTTACCAAAAAAATTTTTTTTCAATGTTTTTGATATTTTGTGATTTGAGGTCATTCTTTTCTGTTTTAAGTAAATTTTTTAAGTTTCTTTTAATTTAGGTCAGGCCTGGAACATAGGGGGAATCCCTCTTTCTGGAATGTGAAAAAATTAAAAAACTTCAGAGCAAAAATTAAGGGAAGTGTGGGTAAAAAGAAAATAAATTTGGAATTTCTTCCAAAATTCGTTGCTGAAAATATTTTCCTGCTACAGCTCTACCAAAAAAATGGTTACGGGTCCGATTTCGGTAGTAGAATTTTACTTTTTTATTTCATTTTTCGGGACAATCGCTGAATAATTGCGCAATTTTTGGAGTACTCCGAATTTTTACAATTGTCAAAATTCAATTTTTTGACATCAGTAATTTTTTATATTTTTGACCATTATTGTCGATATTAGAGACCTGATCGATACGATGTATTGATGGAAAATATCGATGTCGATATTAGCGATAATCGATACCGATATTATCGAACGATCACTAAAGTCCGGTCTCCAGTCGATATAGTCAGAAATTTCCTTTTTTAATTTTTTATCTCTAAAATTTATTAAAATTCAAAAGGCAATATTATTTTTCTAGAAAAGCATCGTTCAGTTTTGAATCAAATTCTTCGAGGAAATAACCAAAGTTTGGAAAGCAATGCTTTTGCAATTCTTACACATTTTCCCAAATTGTTGGATTTTGATGTTAAACGAAAATATTTTCATAAAGAACTCAAAAAAGTTGACAGTCGAGACAGAAATCGGTTTTTATTTTTAATTTTTTTGTCTAATCTTACCAAATTTTTAAAGTTACCGAGCAGAAGATATTGCTATACGTGTCCGTAGAAGCCATATTTTTGGGGACAGTTTTCGGGAATTGCATCGCTTACGAAATTCTGATTGGCGTTCTCGTTTTTATATAATGTTTGAAGGGGAAGAAGGACAAGACGCTGGTGAGAAAAATTTTTTTTGTTATTTTTATTGGAAGATTTCACTTGAATTTTCTAATCAGAAAATTCAAGTATTTACCAAGTATTTATTTCAACCTACTCGATCTGTAGTATTTTCTTCTTTGGTTATCGTTAGCGCATAGTCGGTAGCTTTTCTCTCAAATTTGTGCCTTTTTCCCTGTGGGACTGGAATATCCTCTGAATGTGATATTTCAGAAATGTCCCCCGTAATTCCCTGAAATGGGGAAAAGGAAAAAATTTGAAGAAGGTGAATTTTTTGACCTAAGGCCCTCCAATGTTCTCAAAATTTTCGCAACTGCTCACCAATAAAATTTTTGGCGCCTTCACCACCAAAAATATAGGCCGAAAGTGATTTTACTCTTGTCCTCCCCCCCCCCCCTATTCTAAAATTTTTCCCGGCTACGGACCTGAAACCAACAACCTTATATTTATTCTCTTGTTTTTCCTCTTATCGTAAAAACCTTCCCAATAAGTTTTTACTTCATTTTCTTAAAAAATAATTTACAATTTCTTCTCCATTCTCTCACATATTTCTTTATTTAAACTTTCCTTAATTAACCTCTAAAAACAAAATTTTAAGGTGGTTTGTTGCGTGAATGGTATCAAGTTATAACTCGTGAAATTTTTAATCCAAATTATGCTTTGTTTATTAATGCTCCAGGTGATAGAGTGACTTATATGATTAATAAATCTTCTTATGTTAATCCTGAACATTTGGACTATTTTAAAGTTTTTTTTAAATTAAAAAAGAATTTTTTTTAATTTTTTAAAGTTTGTTGGACGTTTAATTGCTAAAGCAATATATGACAATAAACAATTGGATTGTTATTTTACAAGAGCTTTCTACAAACATATTTTGAATATTCACGGTTTGAATTTTATTTTTAATGCTAGAATTTAATTTTTAAAAATCTCGTTGATTTTCCTTGTCAAAAATTTTTTTCCGGATGAGAATTTTTACTAAGGGGCTGGTGATATTTCTCATCTCCCACTTTTTCTGAATCGCGGGGGAAAATTGGTTTCCTAGTTTTTTTTACATTTTTAATCGTGACCGATATTTGAATGATTTTTTATCGTGTGCGAAGGCCCACAAAAATTTTTCCTTCGTCCCGTTCTGGCTCTACCACCCTGTCATAACCGGGAAGAGACATTTTTGTTCCAAAAATTTTCAGCTCTTTTGATTGATCGGCTGTATAGGATAATTTTTTCCTTAGATTTTATTATCTTTTCCCGTATTGTTTTTAATGAGATTTTTGGTTTAATATTTCTATTTTCTATAAATTTTCCCAATATTACTTTTAAATATAACTAAATAAGGGGTTCTCGTTGAGCGAGAGCGTGAATGAAGCTGGATTATATTTTTGATGATTCCTGTCCCCTCGAATTTATACTGCAAAAATAGGCATAACACAAAAATATGACAATTAATCTTATAAAAATATTTTTTTTCAGTTAAATATCAAGACATTGAAAGTGAAGACCCCGAAATATTCAAATCTTTGGAATTTCTTTTAAACAATTCTATCGAGGCTTTGGGGTATGATTTAATGTTTTGTGTAGAAGTTGAAGAGTTTGGAGTTCGGTCGTCACGTCAACTTAAAGATAATGGTTCTAAACTTTTGGTGACAGATGCGAATAAACAAGAATATGTTCATTTAATGTGTCAAATGAAAATGACAGGTTTCTTTAAAATTTTCTTGTTTTTCTGATATTTTTATTAGTGGTTAGACCGAATCCTTTGGGATATAGAAAAATTTGGTTTGAGGTTCTGGGAGTCGGGAACTGGTAGGAATTCTAAAAATTCCTTGAGTCCAGGTCTGAATTTTTTGTTTGTTAAACAAGAGGTCTAACCCTACCTAAGATTTTCTGGTTTCTAACCATTATAAATAGGGTTGGGGGCCCGATCCGGCCCAATCCGAAAGATCGAATCGGGCATTGAATTTTGGCTCGAAAAAGAAAGACTTGGTCGGGCAGGCACAAAAAGGATGACTCGAACGTCGGTCCGACTCGAAAACCCCAACCCTAATTATTAAATTATTTTTTATAAAATATTATCTAACAAATTTACATTTCAAAGGCTCTATTCGTCAACAGCTTAATGCCTTTTTGGAAGGATTTTATGAATTAATTCCCCGAAATCTTATTTCTATATTTAATGAACAAGAATTAGAATTGCTAATTTCTGGACTTCCTGAAATTGATGTAGATGATTTATGTGTGAATACTGAGTACAAAAATTATACTAGAACGAGTCAACAAATTCAATGGTTTTTTTTGAATTTTTTTTTAATTTTTAAAATTTAATATTCTCAGGTTTTGGCGAGCCTTACGCTCATTTGATCAAGAAGACAAAGCCAAATTTCTTCAATTTGTCACTGGAACTTCAAAAGTACCTCTTCAAGGATTTGCTCATTTGGAAGGAATGAATGGGACTCAGAAATTTACGTAAGGAAATTCTTTCCCTTTTCTTTAATCAATTTTTCTCTTTAAGAATTCAAAAAGACACCCGTTCCCAAGACCGTCTTCCTTCCGCGCACACGTGTTTTAATCAATTGGATTTACCCGAATATCCCAACTATGAGACCCTTCAAAAAATGTTATTGCTGGCTTGTAGAGAATGTTCTGAGGGTTTTGCTTTTGCCTGAATTATATGGTAAATGTTGACAGATTTACATGAAAAACACAATTTTTAAAAATTATTTTTCCCTATTTTAATTAAAAAATTTTCAGAAAATTTTTTTTCAAAAATAATTTATTTTTGTAACAATTAGGATTGAAAAATATAAATTGTGTTGAACAAGTTAACAAAGGACAACAACGAAATAACAAAATTTTAAACTCATAACTTAGGGATAGGATTTATATGGATTTCCATATTTTTTCTTGGGATCATGGGGGTTCTGAAATCTAAAAAACCCAAAGTTTAAGCAAATGTTGATAAGGTCGTTTTTGAAATATCGGTACTTTGTTCATAAACCGCCCCAACCCTGTTTGAGTCTCAGATTAATTTTCCTTCCTTATTGTCCATCATTTATTTCCCTCAAAAATTATAAGTAAAAGGCAAGTTATTAGGATGGAAATTTAAAAAAATTTTTTTAATGGAAATTTGTCCATTTTGAGGCAGGAAAGAATAAAAGGAAAATCGATCTGAGACTCAAAAAGAGGTGGGGGGGTGGTTTATGGAAAAAAAAGTACCGAGATATCAATCCATATCTCGATGTCCCGTCCATATTTTTCGAGATTGATAGTCCACATAAATCTTAACCCTCCCTACTCATAACCAAATAACTTCAAAAAAAATAAAAAAAAAACTTTATTCTTCCTCGTCATCGCTCTCTTCTTCTTCCCCAGCCAGTTCTATCTTCGCTTTCTTCGCCTTCTCAGCCTTTTTTAAGGCTTTTGCTTCCTTCCTTTTCTGAGATTTGGATTTGGTTGTTGTTGCTTCTTCAGCTTTTTCTTCCTCAGCTTCTTGTTTAACCTCCTTTTCAACCTTCTTTCCCTCTTCTCCCTCAGTTCTTACTTCTTTCTTTCCTTCACCTTCCTCAAAAGATTCCGAAAAATTTTTCTTTTTCTTCTTTTCTACAGGTGTTTCTTCTCCGCTTGATTTTTGTGATTTTAATGATATGTCAACTTTTGGGTCATAACGATGGACTTGTCTAAAAATAAAAATTAATTTTGTTGATTTATTCATCAAAATTAGGGTTGGGGGCCATGTTCGGCTCGAAAGATCGAACCGGGCAGCGAATTTTGGCCCGAAAAAGATTCGGTGCCCGGTTCAATAAAGATGAAGCCCGAAAAAGACGACCGGTCCGACCCAAAAAAATGAGGACCGAAAAAATGACTCGAACGTCGGTCGGTTCGAAAAATCCAACCCTAATCAAAATTCAAGAAACATTTTCAAAAAAGAATTATTTTAAACAAACTTTTTAAATGTATACGCCTCCTTTGAAGAATGTTGTACCCCCGAATAACGTTGTTTTTTCACCCCACTTCGAGAATTTTCTGTTTTAATGACTGATTCGAGATAAGCACGGGCCTCAATTCCTTGTTGACTTCCAAGTGATTCATCGCATAGAGCGTCAATTCGAGTTGCCAAAGCAACCTTGGCAGCCAATTTACGAGCAATCTAAAAATGAAAATTTTTTTAACATTCAACAGACTTAAAATTTCCGGATATTCCCAATGATGTTGAAGAAAAAAAATAAAAAGGATACGTTAAAAGAGAAGACAATACGGGTATACCTCCAGTCTGAAAATACTTTAAAAATCCCGTCAACACCGAGACGTTTCCTTTCCGAAAATTTCCTGGGCCAAGTAGTGCAAGAGCCCAAAAAAGTATAAGACGTCATTATACTTATAAGATTATATGTGGTTGCTGTTTAGTTGACTAACCCCATATAAAAATTGCAAGGGCATATCCAGGGCGTCGGTTTCGGGAGGGGGGACTCTAGCCTCCCGGATACGCCCTTGGTAAATTGTATACAAAAATACAAAAAAGGGGACAATTATAGATCATCAAACCAACAAAAACATCGATAAGAACTTAGGAACCCAACCAAAAATAAAAAAAACTTCATCCTAACCTTTCCTTTTGCCTTCTGTCCAGATTGTGTGATTAATTGCGCATGATAAATAATTCCATATTTTGGTGTATCTTTCTTTGTTTTAAGTGCTCTAAACAACGCTTTCTCAGCCCCCAATATTTGAACAGTAGATGCAGGACATTTTGCTAATGCCATAAGAGATCCTAAAAATTTTGTTTGTCTCAAAAATTCTAAAAAATTTTTAAAAACCAGCTTTAGAAACAAGTCTAGCCCCAACCAATTCACCAAGTAAAACAGTCAAATTTGGTGCCAAAGCGCTCATTCGATTTTTAAGATATTCGTGTAATTGTGCTCTATACTGTCCCAATTCAATTATTTGATCACAAAGCTCGCCAATATTTGCCAAATCGAGTTCAGTGATGTCCGTACCCATACTAATCTCAGCCTCAGATCGAACTTGGTCAACGAGTTCAGTTGGCAAAACTGTTTCCAATTTTGCAGTTTGGGCATTTTGACGCATTCCAATGATTTTAACACACTGAAAATTAAAAAAAAGTGAATTAAAAATTTGGTAGATAAACGATTGAGATCGAGCTGGACATGGACCAAGACCTCAATTCTTCCACTTTCCCCTTCTAGTTTTTAAAATTTATTCTGCCACTTCCAACGTGTATTTTTAATTCATGTGTTTGAAACATTCCTAGCAGAGATTGAGCTGGGCCTGGTACAAAACCTGGGTTTTTCCTGTACCCAGAGTCCAGGCCCAAACATTTTTTGACCTTCCTAAGTTTTTCCTCGACTATAGGCCCAGGATCAAGTCCAGGGCAATAAATCAAACTTCAGAAAACAGGAACAGGCCCAGGCTTTTCAGAAATCTCGATCTCTAATAAGCAATCGATCATGATTCCTCTCATCATAAATTAAGGGGAAGAATGTTAAGGTTTTCGAATAAGAGAGAAACTGAAAAAACACCCAAAAATAAAGCAAAAAACCTTAGCATAAGCTTGAGCATCAGTAAGTAATTTTCCAAGTTCAGGAAAGTGCCACCCATACCATTCACGACAACGCATGACGTAATTGTTTAATTCTTTATCCAAGTCATCAAGTAAGGAAACCGCCTAAAGAACAAAATTAGAAGAAATTCTTTTTTAATTTTAGAAATATTTTTAATAAAAAGAAAAAAAGTCAAATTTCCCGTTAAATAAAACAAGAAAAAAACCTCTACTCGACATTTAACTTTAAAGTTGAAAAAGGGGTAATCTGTTAGTTTACTGGTCCCTAGAAAAAATGAGCAGGGAAACAGATCGAAAGTGCTCTTTCGATATTTTTTGGTTTGCCAGCAGGTAACCGAGTGTTGCGAGATTAGTCCGAATATTAACTTGGAGTTTGTCCCTGCTTTTTTCCAGAGACCGGCAAACTAGAACTTTACTCAATGGTATTAAACCGAACCGATTTGTTTTCAAATATTTTTGATCAAAAAATTAAATTTAAAAAACCTGAACAATCATTGTGTCAATCTTTTCCGGATTAAATTTAACTTTATATCGGCCAATTGCATGTGAAACACCCAAGCGCATTGTGGCAATCTCCTTTGTGATAGCTTCATCATCAACTAAAGTATCCATATTTGCTCGAATTGAACGCATTAATTCAGAAATTGCTGTGTTATGAAGACATTTAATTTCTAGACTGTTCTGAAATGACAAAAATGTATGTATGAAAAATATGACAAAAATGTCCCGACTAGGGTTGTCGGTTTCAAACCGAACAGAAAAACCAAAAATTTACGGTTCGGTTTCGGTTAAACGAAGAATTTGGTGAAACCGACAACCCTAGTCCCGATAAAAAACCTATGGGCCGAGATATACTTCCAAGAAGATAGGAAAACCATAAGAGGGACCAAGCAGTCGGCTCCCAATTGAGTCCCGAATCTAATTTAGGTGTTTTTTAACGCCAAGGTAATATCGTTCAGCTCGGCTCACCGAGCTCTTTCGATAACATATTGTTTGTCCGAATCGGAGCCTAGGTAATTTGACGAAATTTTTCCGAAAATTACCCAAAATTTTAATAAAGAATAAAAAATAATAAAATTAAAAACCTTTATCAAAGTCCCCAATTGTGTATCAGCAACGGCCAACTTCTCACCTTCCTCCTCCACTGATTTTTTGAGGATTCGTTTAAGTGATTTACTTAATTTTCCTTCAGATATATTTGTTGCATTTGTAACAGCTTCAGCAATAGATTTAAAACGTTTAAAAGAAACAAGTTGAAGACTAAATAAAAGGAAAATTTGTTATTAAATTGGGCATAGAGTAAATTTGATAAAGAAAAAAGGGCCCATAAATTCAATATTAACATTTTAAATGGGCAAAATCCAATCCCCGTTGAGAGCAGATTCGAGAGGGCTGCTGTTTATGAGCTGATTTGCATGAATATAATGATCATTCGAAAGAACACAGGGAAGTATTTTTACCCAGTTCAGTCAGACATATGGAGGATAAACTTTGATTCCCAGAAAGAGCACAGAAATAAGTGTAAATGACGGTCGCAAGTGAACCCATTAAGAGCTGGCGATCAGACCAACACCCTAAAAACTCATTCATACAAATCAGCCAATAAACAAACTACTATCTCAAAAGAATGCCCTATTTTCTATTATAAAAGACCTTTCTTGACTTTTATTCCAAATATTGTCAACATCTTTAAGTAATCCTTCATCCGTTAACTAAAAATATAAATTTAATAAAATTGTAACAAACAGAAAACCTTAAAAAGAGCATAACCCGCCGCCGTTTCAAAAAGTATAAGCATTATAAAAATAAATTCTAAAAGAAAAATAAATTTATTATAAACGAAAATAAAAAAATATCGCGCTATCAAGGTGGGGTAAATAAACAGTGTAAAAATTAGTGACCGGCAAAGTCGTGTTTGCGGGATCCCGCAGGATAAATCCCGCACTCCCGCAAAATCACGCAAATCGAAAAAAGTGCGGGATTGCGGGACGGGATCCCGAATCCCGCGTCTGTCACTAGTAAAAATTCTAAATGTGTCAGCTTGATGTTTTAAGCCTATTTCTACCGTTATACAACCTAAAAACATTTTATACCTATGAAATAGCTATTAGCACCAAAGTTGTTTCGAAAAAAAAATGTTCGAAAATCGAAAAACGAAACAAGTTCAGAAATCGAAAATCGAAGGTCGAAAATCAAATCTCGAAACAGCTCTGATTAGCACATAATTTACGACGTGACGATTTGTTCGAAACATTCCCATTTGACTATTAATAAATTGGACAAAATGTCCGTCATGCCGAAGTGCACACAAATCGCGGAACAGGATCATTGAGTCCCGCCGGTTGAGTCCCGGAGCCATATTTTGGACCATAACTTTTCCAATTCTTAATCGATTTACTTGATTAATATTTTAAACGAAAGCTCTTAATGTAAGGATTATTTTAACTAGCAGGATTGATCTGATCAGATCAACATACAAAAAGTTACAGACTAATAAAGGTCAAAAATCGCGATTGCGCACACTTATCTAAATGTAACTTTTTGTAGGATGATCTGATCAAATCGATTTAGTTGGCAAAAATAATCCACACATCCAGGGCTTTCGAATGATAAAAGATTTATTCTGATTCGTTGAAAATTCAAAAAGTTATGGCCCAAAATATGGCCCAGGGACTCAACTGGCGGGACTCAATGATCCCCCACCCCACAAATCGTCTAACTTGTTATGTACGTGACTTGTATGTCTACGTACTAACAAGAATAAACACAAGATAAGACAGTAACTAACAAACTGTGCTTTATCTACAATACTAAATACAATAAGGGCGAACAATAAGAATATGGCTAAGCGCCGAATAGGTGGAGACAGAATAGAATAAGAATAACACTGCGACAATAAGACTAAGACTCGACTGAATAATAGGAAGGCTTTTATACTAAGCCAATACCCAACACCTCCCTCCTTTATTAATAATAATTTTCTCTTGAATAAAATAATACCTCCGAATAATGTCTCCAAACAACAAAAAATACATACAAAGGGGCAAAATACAATAATTACAAAGGGGGCAATACAAAAAATACATACAAACAAAATATTATCACAACAAAAAATATTATCTCAAACCCTAAGCATCAATGCTAATACCGCTCATCTCTTCGTCTTCATTCTTCTTCTCAACGGACTTTGGCTCATCTAACACATCAATAGAATCATCTGGAATATTTTTAGAATTATTTTCAACTTCTTGGAATTTTGAATCATCTTCTTCCTTCGAATTGATATTTTTGTTGAATAATTGATTGAGCTTTAAGCTCTGCTCCTCAATAGAATTATCAGAATCTGATTGGTTTTTCTCTAACCAATACTTTTTGCGAATATGCCATTCTTCTCGGCTAATAATGCACTTGAGGCGTGGGACTTCAATTCTCCACTTTTGGCCTACTTTATTGACTAACTTTCCCAGCAGCCATAAAGTTTTTCCGCTTTTGTTTGTGTTTTTGATTAACACTTCTTCATTGTTGGCGAATCGGCTTCTCTTATGCCATCTTTTGGGCGTTTCTTCGTTTTTGAATATTTTCTTCTTCCAGAATGGACTTTCTTCATTTTTCAAGAATGGCTGAGGACTACGCCATTTTTTCTGTTTTGGAGAATTGAATACTTCTTTTGGAATGAATTTTGCTAGAATCCTCGAATTTGTTCCAAATTTATTCAAGATTGGCAAGCCCAAAATATTGACATCTCCTTTGACCAAATGGAATTCTTCTTCTGACGTAATTCCGAATAGCTCTACAATTGCTTTGAATTTTCCTTCAATCTCGAATTTTGTCTTTCCTAGGCCGACGCCTGAATAATCAACTTTGAATAATTCGGGACTGCCGATTTTCGTCCAAATCTCTTCATTAAGAATATTTATTTGGCTTGCCGAATCAACGATCATCTCGACTAATTTTTCATTCAATTTCAATTTTTGCGTGATCCATTTTTGTTTAATCAGAATAGAATTTGGATTCACAATATCTGTAATACCACAAAAGGTTCCTGACGAATCTGGATCAATAGAAACATGATTAATCTGTGGTCGATTGAATCGGTTTAACCAACCTTTAGGTTTACGACAATCACGTCCGTAATGTCCAAAACGACCACAATTGTAGCACTGAATGTCTTTGAATTTGTTTGGATTCTCCGAATAATCCGAATAATTGTTGAATCTCTGGTTTCCCGAATTGTAATTGAATTTCTTTTGATAATTGCTTCTAATGAATTTATTTTCAGAATTATCCTTCATTTTAGAATTTTGACTAGGTTGAGCCTGAATAGGATGTTTACTAACATTATTTACTTCGAATGAATAATCAGGCTCGAATTTTACCTTATCTTGAATATTCTCAAAAACTTTCGCATCTGCCTTTGTTGCTAAATAACTTCGGCATTCTTCCAATAATTGCTTGAATGTGCATTGATCCGAATTCGAATTTCGCTCAACGAATCGCAGGCAGATTTGGCGCAAATCATTAGCTTCCTCGGGAATCCCTGCAATGAAAATAAGAATTTTCGAATCTTCAACCGTTAGCGCCATCTCTGCTTTTTCACATTCAGAATTAACCACTGCCCCAAAATCTAACACTTTCTCAACACAGGGGCATCTTAATTTGATGACTTCGAATCGTTTTACAATTTTGGACCGAGGGTCTCCGAATTCATTTTCTAACTCCTGAATCAGAATATCGAATTTCATAGAATCTAATTTCTGGGGCATCAACTTCTGTGAAATCTTAGCATATTCACTACCCCCTAACTTGGCGACTAATAATCGGACCTTAACATTTTCGGCTAATGAATTACCTTCATTATCAAAGAATGATTTATGCTTCTCGAACCACGAAGCGAAAGTTTTGCCCTTGTCCAAATCGAACTCGAATTCTTGAATAACGGAATTTAATTTGCAATAGAGTTCAGCTGACTTTTCTTCTTCTGAATCTTCTTTTTCCTTTGTTTTGCCGAATTCCTTCATGAAATCTTGCGTTGACTTCAGAATTTCGCCTAACATTTTTACTGCCTCTGTGTCCATTTTTAACTTTTGAATCAGGTTCGAATACAAACTCGACCGCGCCACTGTTATGTACGTGACCAGTGCTTCGAAATTTCAAATTTGCTCGTACTCGTACTCGTACTTCGTACCACCTCATTTTTTGCCTCGTACTCGTACTCGTACTTCGTACCACCCCCATTTTTTTGCTCGTACTCGTACTCGTACCTCGTACCACCCCTATTTTTGGCCTCGTACCTCGTACTCGTACCTCGTACTTACTCGTACTTGAAGAAAAAGCAAAAAATCGAAAATTTTTATGATTTTTTGGAGCCAGGGCATCTAGTTTTAAATTTTAAGCGTTGTATTGATAATATTTGAATCTTGGAAGGCCTTGAAGTTATAAATCCTCCAATTTCATCCATTTGCTGCACCGCAGGCGAAATTTTTGAGCATTTTAGAGTGCAAGGAGAAATATTTCCTCTAAGATGAGTCGTGTTACCCGAAATCCTACATTTTTTCATCCGGTTTTCATCTTCTTACATAGAACTTTTTATCTTTTCCACTGAACTTTTCACATTTTAATCTCCTTATATCCCTCTTAATCTCAAATCCTTTTTTTCAAAAATTTTGAGAATTTTGGATGTCCTTAAGTCAGATTTCTTCTATTTTTGCGCCGCAGGCGAAAATTTTGAAAAATTTTGAAGGCCATGAAGCCAGATTTCTTTCATTTTTCACCGCCGAAGGCGAAAATTCTAGAATTTGGAAGCCAATAAGCCACCTTTCTTATTTTTTCAGCGCCGCAGGCGAAAATTTTGAAAATTTCCGAAGGCCGTAGGCGAAAAAAATTCACTTTTAGTGTGCAAAGAAAAAAATATTAAGAATTTTAGATGGTCAAAATCTCATAATTAATCCAAGTAAAAATACAATAATTTAAAAAAATTAAATTTATAATTAAGTTATTTATGAAGAGAAAAATATTAAAAATCCTTGTCCAGTGAATAGGAAACGAACCCAATATTAAATCATTATAGACTTTGGTGCAGCCAAGCACCTTCACCACTCGGCCACTCGCTCATATGATGAAAAATAAAAGGAACAAAATATATTTCTTTCAATTTTCCTATTAACACCAAGTACGAGAAGTACGAGCTCGTACTTAGGCCTCGTACTCGTACTTTTCACTTTTTTTTGGCCTCGTACTCGTACTCGTACTTCGTACCTGTCCAATTTTTTTGCTCGTACTCGTACTCGTACTTCGTACCAGGTACGAGTACGAGTACGAGGTACGAGTACGAATTTTGGTACGAGCTTCGAAGCACTGTACGTGACTTGTATGTCTACGTACTAACAAGAATAAACACAAGATAAGACAGTAACTAACAAACTGTGCTTTATCTACAATACTAAATACAATAAGGGCGAACAATAAGAATATGGCTAAGCGCCGAATAGGTGGAGACAGAATAGAATAAGAATAACACTGCGACAATAAGACTAAGACTCGACTGAATAATAGGAAGGCTTTTATACTAAGCCAATACCCAACATAACTGAATAAATATCCACAATTCGTCCCAACATAAAAATGTCCAACATAGTAAAAATACTCAAATCGTCACTAAATTAAAAAGACCGTACGACGACAATTGTGAATACGACCATTGCGAACATGACAATTCTGGACGATAAAATACACAGATCAGAGATTGGCGAAGATTTTTCGTTTCGTGTTTCGTAAATTATGTGGATTTTTTGATGATTTCGTTTCGTAAGAACGAAAATTATTTTTTCGTTTCGTTTTATTATAAGCGAAATTTTATTTTCGCCACCCAGATGCCAAAAGTAAAGCTATATCTCTCCCTTAGCTAGTGCAAAAAGTTATTCGGCATTGCGAGCGAACCAGCATCTTCAGCAAACTGGACTAATGTGTTTAACCCATTACACCACGTCGCCTGCTGCACAGCCCTAGGAATTAAATATGTAAATATATATGCTTCGTGTCCGGAAATTTGGGGAGTGGACACTTGGGGAGTAGACATTTGGGGAGTAG